TGGCAAAGCCACATGGTATTCACGCAACTGCCCCATGCCCATCTCCATTCCAAGTCAGGGAACATTTGCTGAGGACCCACTACACACTGGGACCTGTGCCAGCCAGCTTGTCTTCAGCTCCATCTCAGTGCAGTGCTCTTTACACAGCGCAGGGCTCCCCTGTGCTACGTTTGTACTTGCCATCCCTTTCTCCTCCAGATACTCATTTGCATTTTTCAATCAGGATCTTATTTTACTGCTTTCTGCTGCATCTCTAACTCCTTGCCATCCAGCTGCATTTTCTCTCCTAGCAAGTGTTAAAATCATTTTCTAATTTAGACCACTTTGCATTTCACTCAAGTGATGTCTCATCTGCACTTGGCACAGGCCGCAGCCAGCTCCACTGTGCATGAGGAGTCTGGGGCACTGAACCCCAAACAAGTTGACTGAGCTAAACTTCAGAGTAACAATTACTGTTGTTGTTAGCTGTTGTTGAACGAACCCCATTCACAGCAGAAACCAAACACCGCCTAGTCCTGCACCATCCCCATGATTCCTTGCCTCCCTTCACAGATGGGTGGTGGCTACACATGTGGTGCATTGGCTAGGAATGAGCCCGAGACTCCCACTTGGAAGGTGAGAATTCTACCACTGAATCACCAATACCTCTCAGAGTAACAATTTCTCTTTGGAAACAAAACAAAAACTTACGAGTGGGCACAGCCTAATATTTTGTTGTCAATCAGATATCCTCCAGGGAAAGGGCGTTCTATTATAGGCAGTTCATTCTCTGTTTGTCTTTAGAGTCAAACTGCCTGGGTGGGTTCAAATCCCAGCTCTCAACCACCTAGCTGTGTTCTCTGAAGCCTCCCTTTCCCCCAACTACAAATGGAGGATAATAATGCCCACTTTGCAGCCCATTGTGAGGATTAATGAGATAGTGTGCGTGAAACATTCAATTACAGGAGTTAGTATTTAACTGGATCACCCCAGTATCATATCTTTATCTAAAGCTATTGGGAAATCCTTGCGTCCACATGTCTAAGGCATATCTCGGCTGGCCTTGAACTTGGAGTTCCTCTCATAAAAGAACTCTGCTAAGTTTCCCACCCCCATTGCTAGGACTGAAAGACTCTCTCCTACCATAGTTTTGAGTTTTGAGGGGTAGGAAGATGGCCAAGATGAGCTCATCTAAAATGAGGAAACATGTCCACACTCCCAGTGTCACCAGAATCCATCACAGAACACTGAACTGTAGCTACCATGGTAGTTGTTTCTGCAAATGGCTTTGTAGCCTCAAAAGAAGTGGTCATGGGTGGAATTTTATTACTTATGATATACACACCATACATATGTACATATGTACACACACACACACATATATACAGAGACAGAGAAAGAGCAAGAGCAAAAAAGGAAAGCACATGGGGCATTCAACAATGGAAGAATCTGTGTGGAATGTTTATAGATATTCATTTTAATATTCTTAGAACTTGTCTCTAGGTTTGAAATTTTGAAAGAAAAAGTGCTATTAAAAATTAATCTTGACTCCTACTTCACATCATATGAAAAGAGCAATTTCAGATGCATTATAGATCTAAATTTATTGATCTACACATACAAAAGGAGCCCTGGTGGCACAATGGTGAAGCATTTGGCTACTAACCAAAAGGTGCACAGTTAGAATCCGTTATCCACTCCTTGGAAACCCTATGGGGCAGTTCTACTCTGTCCTGTAGGGTCGTCTCTGAGGCAGAATCAACTCAACGGCCATGGGTTTGGATTTCGGTTTTATACATAGAAATAAATACATAATAGTAAAGCTTCTAGAAGAAAACTTTGGATAATATTTTCATGGTCTTAGAATAGGCAAAGATTTTTCAAACAGGACAGAAATGCACTAACAAACGAAAATGATAAATTGGACTGTGTTAAAATTAAGAGCTTTTTTTCATTAAAAAATACCATTAGGAGAGCAAAAAGACAAGCCATAAAGTGGGAGAAAATATTTGCAATTTGATAAAGTACTTGTAGCCACAAGACATAAAGAACCCCTATGAATGAATTAAAAAAGAGACAACCCAAGAGAAAATGAGTGAAAAACTTAAATAGGCATCTCACCAAAAAAGGATAAACAAATGGTCAACAAAAGCATGAAAATGGTATTTCACTGGGGTTTAATTTTTGTTTTCTTGATGAATATTTAAATTGAGTACATTTTCACGTCTAACATTTTAGAAATAAACAATATCACACGTTAGTGAGGCTGCAGAGCAGTCGGAACTCTCATATATTGCTGATGAGTGTGAATTCGTACCAACATTTTGGAAAACTATTTGGCAATATCTGCTAAAGTTAAACATATGTATACTCTATTACCAAATGAATACATTATGCAATTAATAAAGATTTATACATTTGTTCACCAAAAACCTGGATAAGAATGTCCAAAGTAACATTATTTATAATAGCCCCAAAACTGGAAATAATGAAAATGTCTGTTCACAATAGAATGGATAAATAAATACAGCAGAATACCATTTAGCAATAAAAACGAACAAACAATTGCTGCATAAAACTTCATAGAGAAATCTCACAAATTTAATGTTGTGTGAAAGAAGCCAGATGTAAAAGAGTACACACTATATGTTTCCATGTATATAAAGATTAACAGGCAAAGCCAATCTATGGTGATAGAATTTAGAGAAGTGGATGTCTTTGGGTGGAGGGTAGTGACTGGGAGGGGGCTTCTGAGATGCTGATTACATTCTGCTCTGTGTTCCGGTTAGATAGATGTGCTCATTTGGTGAGAATGCATTGAACTGCACACTTAGGATTTGTGAACGTTTCTGTGTATACGTTTTACTTCAATAAAAAAAATGAATTCAAAACAAAGCAAAAACAAAAAACAAAACAGAACTTTGTTTTCAGGATAAGGCTTGATTAGCTAATGTTGATCATATGAACATATATCATGCATAAACCGGAGGCGGAGAACAAAAGAGGAAAAGAAAGTGAAACGGCAAGCCATAGGGTAGTAGAAAGTATTTGCAATCTGTCTGATAAATTGCAAAACTGGTACAAATTGTACTTAAAAAGGGCCAAATACTTAAATCGAAGGCACAAGTTTCGCCTCCCCACCACTCTCATTTTCTTCCCCCTTGCCTGCAGCCTAGAAGATCCTGAGAGTCAGGGGCAGGGTCTCCTTCAACTTTCTATCTCCTCCCTCTCTCCCCATTATTCATATAGTAAGGGCTCAATAAGTAGCCATAGAATCCTGCTGCCAAGAAATCACACATGACAGAAGAGGCCAAAGAAAGTATAGATGCAATGTTAATTAAATAGGACACAAGGCCATTTAAAATTGGAGTCCCTGATGTAGGCAGGAAGTTGCATTGGAAGGTTTCAGTCTCACCTGACTTATCCAAAAAGGAAATTTCTTGCAGCAGCAGAGGGTCAGGCCTAGAAATCCTGTGACCCTCCATACTACTCTGTGACCTGGATAGCACTGAAGGTCCCAGAACAGGCAGCAAAAGGACTGGGATCCCCTCCCTGCCTCTTTTCCCTCCCCTCTGCCAAAACAGGATCTAGTTGCAAAAATAACTGGCAGCTCTGGGGTCTGATATCCTCAATGGAAGTTGGACCAGTCCAGTATTGCCACGGGCTTTCCGAAATCTTCCAGCAATGCTGGCCCTTCCTGGGAACTCCCTTGTGGGCTTCAGAAGGCTTTACACTGATGCAGAGATTTGAGAGTTGAACTGGCAGGCTTGAGAGGGAGACATTTAAAACAGCCTGCAGGAACCTAAGCTGGAATTTGATGGTAATATTACCACATCCGAGGATATTCACATGAGGTACATTGAGCATAAATTGCATTGATCGTTGAGAGGATGGTTTCCCACTTCTAGCCCCTTACTAATTTGCATACGTGTCTACGTGAAATTGCCATACCAACTTGACTGATGAGAAGACAGCCTTACTGTTCCCCTTTCCAGCTTCATTGTCTCTGAGTGTTGTGTTTTCTCTTGGCCTGAGTGCATCCCAATTCTGTCCTAATACAAGACTAACAAGGTTCATTTTAGCTTCTAGGCCTTATTCCAGTCCTGGCTTTGATTCTTGCTCTTCTTTGGCAAGTCTTCATCTTGTTCTCTCTTACAACCATCCTGACTGAGATGCCAGGAGCTGCCTCAGTGCCATTCCACATGCTGCTGCCTTCTCAGAAGGGGCTACTCCTGGTTCTTAACCTTCTTTCAGCCGCAAGCCGGTAAAGCAGCCTGCCAAGCCACCAAGACTGATGGTCCTTCCTGTCCACAGCCCTTGTCAGAGACAGGCCATGTGGGGCGGGACACCTGCCTGGGTCAGATACAGTGCGAGGAAGGTTGAAGTATTTTAGAAGTGGCAAGAGATGGAGGCCCTTCTCCATTCTCTCTTCCATTACCTCTGCCAAGAACTTCCCACAGGTTGATAAATATTGTCATGGCCCAAAACAGAAGGTGTAATTTGGTTCTTTTCTCAGATATTACTCCTGTGGGTTAGTGAACAGATGGAGGTTGTCCAACTCAAGAAGAAAGCCAGACTCATTGAGAGTGATCTTTTAAACGCTCTAAAACCTAGCACAGGTCTTTCTTTACTAATCTCCACCCTAAGAGCCAGGAAACCAAAGGACTATTTGAGGTAGGGGTCATGTACTGGGATGCTGGACAAACAGCCCCCATAGTAGGATGCAGGTTTGAGGCTCAGCTATTTGCATGGAGGCCCTGTTGGTCTCATCGTCCCAAGTGGGATTATTTTGGGGAAATTATTGAGGAAGAGGAAAACTTTCATTTCTCCCTACCAAGACTCTAGCAGACCATCCCCTGGCTGAGCTCTTGGGCTCATTTCTGACAATAAATAAAAACACATTCCACTTCCCCTTTTAAAGACATTGGCTGTTAGGATGCCGAGGCTCAGATAAAACTGCATGCTGAATCTCAGAATTGGCAGTCAGTTTAATCTGAATAAAGACAAAGAGTTGGACTCACCTCAGTGCACATTTGATCCGAGGAGGTGATTACTTTACAGCCAGCAGAAAACAGCACAGCCAAAAGCAAGCAGCTGACGCTGGGAGCCATCATGGGGCCCATACAACCCCAGCTTGGTGGCTTGTCTGATGCCTTGAGCTGAGAAATTGAATCAAGCTATGACGGCCCCAGCAATTTGGCAGCCAGAGGGGGCTCAGAAGGGTGACCTCAGAACAAGAAATGCTGTTGACTATTACGCATTCACTGGCTCCACACTGCAAAAAAGGGGAAGTCCTTTTTGCACACTACCCATCGTTGCCAAAAATAACTGAGGACCCAGCCCCAGAATGGCCCAGTGCATTTCCTGGCCAACAAGAATTGGTTGTGCAGCCCTCTTGAGCTGGTCACGTGGACTCTCAGTGCAATGGTTTCTATTGACTTTAGGCCAGCTTCCAAGGTCTGGCCAACTCTAGCAGCTTCCACTCCCTTTCCATGAGAGAGACTGTGGGAGAGGGAAGCTATACCAACTTTGGTAGTTGTCCCAGGTGAGCAACTCGGATGGGTGCAGGAGCATGCAGGAAGGGCAGAACACTCTGTGGGGACAGATGGAATAACATAGCCCAGCGGTAGCACCTACTGGAATTGGGAGCTAGAGCAAGAGGGAACAGGGTCAGTCCTTCCCTGGAAAGGGAGGGTATCTTCTCCTTGCTCCTCAGCCACCTGGCCTATCCCCACCTCCAGCCTTAGTACAGCCCATTGCCGTCCAGTCAATTACAACACATACTGACCCTACAGGACAGAGCAGAACTTCCCCATAGCGTTCCCAAGACTGTAATCTTCAAGGAAGCAGACTGTCACATATTTCTTCTATGGAGCGGCTGGTTGGTTCAAACCATCACCTTTTCAATTAGCAGCTGGGAACTTAACCACTGCGCCACCAGGGCCTTAGTACAGGAGGAGAGTAAGTCCGTCTTGCATCTAGGTGATTCAGGCCTACTAAAGCCTGTTCCCTCTTAACCTGGTCCAGGGAAGTGGGAGACACTGTTATAAAAAGAACAGCCTGGCTAGGAGGGAACAGAGAGCTAAGGATGTCCACCCTGGCTCTATTTCTTCTTAGACATAGCTTTGAAGCAGGATTGCAGTTATTCGCATTAAGATGTAGCAGAGATTAATGAAATTCAATGTTAAAGTTCAAGTATTCCTCAGTGGGTTGAATTTAGCTACCTCAGACACAATCTGTTCTCAGCCTTCTGACATATACGAGATACTTGGTGTTACTATTCTCCCACTCCATTTCCAAGAGCCCACTTCTTATTATCAGAATTCACAGTGACTTGAGATACTACTACTACTACTACCACCAATAATTATAATGTAGCCCTGGTGGTGTAGTGAACAGCTCAGCTGCTAACCAAAAAGGTTCCCAGTTCTAATCTACCAGCTGTACCTTGGAAACCCTGTGGTGTAGTGGTTAAGTGCTATGGCAGCTAACTAAAATGTCCACAGTTCGAATCCACCAGGCACTCCTTGGAAACTATAGGACAGTTCTACTCTGTCTTATAGGGTTGCTGTGAGTTAGAATCGACTTGACAGAAATGAGTTTGCTTTTAATAATTATAACAGCTACTATTTAGTGCTATAGTTTTCCCCATTCTACAGATGTGGAAACTGATATTCAGAGAAATTAAATAACCTCTGTAAGGCTACATACGTAGACAGTGGTGGGTTAGGGATTCAGACCCAAATAATCTCACTGCAAAGCCCGTGCTATTACTCTCTATGGTTTCGAAAAGAATTTTGCCTCCTAAAGGTGCTGAAGTGTGAATGGGGTGAAGAAGGCTCTTCATCTGGAGATTTCAGAGCAGATGCTAAAAAAAAACAGGGGTTGGCGTAACTATGTACTTGGCATTGTGCTAGGGCTACCACAAATATTTAGCTTTTCTGGTCACCCTTAAAATGCCATCCTCATTAGCAAAAGCATCACTGAAGATGCTTTTGGTAAAACACTGTCTAAGCAAATTCAGATCAACGACAGACCACCTTGCCTTGAAGAAGGCATCCATCATGATGTAATGGAGAGGGTTCCGGCCCAGAAGGAGGATCTGGTTCTAGCCTCAGCTCCACTGCTTAACAACTAAACGACCTTGGGCAAGTCATTTAACTTCTCTGAGTCTATCCCCTCATCTGAAAAACAGGAATTATAATTCCTATTCTGCCTACCTCACAGGGTAATTATGAGGATCAAATGGGATCACATACACATGAAAAAGCTTTCTTAACCTTAAAGCCCTGCATAAAGATGAAGAATGTGAGGCAAAGACTCCACTGAGCGACCAATTCTAATGTCATGTAAATATCACTCTCAGGTAATTGTCTCCTGCCCCAGAGACGATGAAAACGCATGTTATTTTCCTTCTTAAAGAAAGGTTTGATAGCTCAGTTAAGGCCATAAGATTTTGTCATTTTCTGAGGCCACACAATTTGCATATCATTTGCATGTGTTTGCATAATGACTTCAAAAGACTCACTACAAGTGTATAAGAGTAAAAGAAAATAAATGAATATGAGTGACCTTCTGCCACAGCATTCAAATCAAATATTCAGGGCATAATACCGTGAAATATGAAATAGATTAAAATTTAAACTATTGCAAACAGATAGGAAGATAGGTTTTAGAGTTCAGAGGTAAGAGTGAAACTCTTGGTACTAGGTTGCAAAGAATCACCTTCTCTTAACGGGCACACCATCCAAATGATTATCAAAGCCTGAATTCTCTCCACCACATCCCTTACCCTACCCCTCTCTGTAGGCAAACACATACACATTAAATTATCTTCTGGCCTACTTTGAAGTGCCTCAGGGGACAGAAAACTTACTACTCCCCTCCTCCCACTGTTTTGGACAATTTGGACCGTTAAAAGGTTTTTTTTATTGCGTTGAACTGCAAAAGTCTTTCCTTCAATTTCCCTGAACTGGTCCTTGTTTCCTCAGAGAAACAGAGCATGTTCAAGCCCTTTTCTACCTGTCAGTCCTTCAGATATTTGAATACAGTTATGGTGTATTCTGATGTTCCTCATTTCAGGGTTAAAAATCTCTATGTAATTCTTCCAATTGTATCATAAGTTCTGTTTAACAGAACATCGTCCAAATCTTCCCAAAAGAGCACTGACTTGAATTCTAGTCCTGGATTTGCCATTAACTAGTTATGTGTCAAAAAAAAAACAAACAAAAAAAACAGTTATGTGTCAAGATAAATGAAAAAAATATTGAAGTTGTCAAGGATTTCATTTTATTTGGATCCATAATCAACATCCATGGAAGCAAGAGTCAAGAAATCAAATGATGCATTGCACTGGGCAAATCTGCTGCAAAAGACCTCTTTAAAGCGTTAAAAAGCAAAGATGTCACTTTGAGGACTAAGGTTCAGTGACAAGCCATGATGTTTTCAATTGCCTCATATGCATGTGAAAGTTGGACAATGAATAAGGAAGAACTAAGAAGAATTTGATGCCTTTGAATTATGGTGTTGGTAAAGAATATTGAATGTTCCGTGGATTACCAGAAGAATGAACAAATTTGTCTTGGAAGAAGTACAGCTAGAATGCTCCTTAGAGGCAAAGATGGGGAGACTTTAACTCACATACTTTGGATATGTTATCAGGAGGAACTGATTTCTAGATAAGGACATCATGCTTGGTAAAGTACAGGTCAGTGAAAAAGAGGAAGACTCTCAGTGAGAAGGATTGACACAGTGGCTGCAGCAATGGACTCAAACACAGCAACAATTTTGAAGATGAAGCAGGACCAGGCAACGTTTTGTTCTGTTATACATAGGTTCGCTATGAGTTGGAACCAACTGGATGGCACCTAACAACAAGAGTTATGTTATTGGAAAAGTCTCTCTATGCCTCAGCTTCCTAATCTGTACAATGATGGAGTCAGACTAGTTTATCTATAAGGTACCTTCCTCTTCTAAAATTCCATTACTCTATTTCAAAAATAGAATGATTTCTGATGATTTCCAATTTACTTATGAGGCAGAGTCATTGACTTGAACCAATAAAATGAAGTTAAAGTGGTCCACATAAACCAGAGACTCCATCAGCCTGAGACCAGAAGAGCTAGATGGTGCCTGGCTACCACCAACGACCCCCCAGACAGGGAACGCAACAGAGAGTCCCTGGTGGAGCAGAGAAAAGTGGGGTGCAGAACTCAAATTTACATAAAAAGACCAGACTTAATGGTCTGACTGAGACTAGAGGAACACTCAAAGACATGGCTTCCGGACTCTGTTAACCCTGAACTAAAACCATTCCTGAAGCCAACTCTTCAGATAAAGATTAGACCAAACTGTAAAACATAAAATAATACTCGTGAAGAGTGTGCATCTTAGTTCAAGCAGATACACGAGACTAAATGGGAAGCTCCTGAGAAGGCAGAAAGGGACAGGAACTGGTTGGATGGACACGGGAAACCCTGGGTGGAAAGGGAGAGTGTGCTGTCACATTGTAGGGATTACAACTAGTGTCACATGACAGTAATGTGTATACATTTTTGTATGAGAAATTAACTTGAGCTGTAACTTTCACCTAAAGCACAATTAAAAAAAAGAAAAATGTACAGTGAAAAGAAAAAAAAAAAGAAAACCACAAGATTCTTAAAAAGATAAATAAAATAATGTTGCAAAAAATAATTCAAAGTACACTCAAAACTTCTTTTTAAAGGTTTCAGTATAAAAGATCAGAAGAGAGACCCTCTTAAGATATTATTTTCAGAATTTTAGTTACTGAACAGAAGCAAATAAAATTATTCTTCTAAATGGAAAAGTCTTGAAATAGTAAACAGAAGTATAATGCTTACATGAAACATGAATATTCCCCACACTACCGAGTATGATAGACGAAAGGAGATCAACTATAAAAAGAGTATTATCTGAACGTCAAGGAAACTTACTGGAGCCACATACACATACACACACACAACATACACATGTAAGCACATGCGCACAGATACACCCATTAAAAAAAGAAAAAATGGAGTTAAACTTGCTTGTTGTTGGCAATCTACTTTTTCTTCCCTACTCAGGTGCTCTTATCACTTCTTGGGAATCACAAAAAAGTGGAGAGAAATTTGGCTGGAGCAATGGGCACCATGATTGTTGCAATCCTAATTCACTCACAGTTCTATTAAGGGATGGAATGGCTGTCTCCCATTCTAAAAATTGATTCTTGCAGATATGGTAGGAAGAGGAGAAAATGAGGCAAGGCACTGACCAGCAACCACAACATTGAAGAAAAC